CTTCCCATGCAGCCTTTCATGCTGTATCACATAATGCAGCATCCCTACAGTACACTGCTAGCTTTTGTGCATAATTTCCAATTATTTCTCCCTGATACTATAATATTCTAAAACTGGCTTACTTCAACCTACTGTTAAGGTTCCTCTCCCAAGAAACCTTTGCTCCTAATGGGAAGCAAAAATAATTTGAGCAAAATAATTAAAAAATACAAGGAAAGGGTGATTTGTAACAAGTTAGCTCAGGGTCATTTCCTTTCATCATCACCAACATCAGCATAAATGGATCTGTCAATGAATGAGATTCACAGAAAGTCCTTACCCAGCAAGGCTGACAAGGACCCTCTTCAGGGCTCCATCCCTGCCTTAGCATGAATATATGGTCAGATACACAAGGATTCAAAAGAAACCCTTTAGCTCTCAGGAAAAAAATACAAAAAAACAAAAAAAACCCCAATGCCCAACTCCCAAATAATAATAATAAAAAATTTTAAAGGTTTGGGTTTTTTTTAAAGAATGTACAATGCAAAACATCTCTCCACCACAGATCCCAAGCACAGCTCTTGTCTTTAAAAGGGGCTATAAATCTACACAGGTAAGCTCTTTCATCCCATTACTGCTCAGTAATTACAGCATTTGAAAATAAAACCTAAACCTGGCACGAGTAAATGTGTTTGGAGCCTTCACAGGCCCCACCAGCCTTATTCCTTCACTTGCCATTATAGCTGAAGCACAGCAAAGTGCCTCCTAGCAGAAATTACAAACCTTTTAGAAACCTTTTCATCCCAGTTTCACCAAATGCACTGAGGATGCTTATAAATATGCAATATGAATTTTTAAACTCTTTCATTTTCCCTCACTCCAATTAGCATTAAAATCGTTTTACTTTTAAATATACAGATGGGAGCCAAGTCTGAAGTCAAAGGCACTCACTCACTATAGCGACGAGGGCCATGTAAGAGCAGAGCCAGCTAGAAAGAGGCAGCCCCAGGTACCAAAATAACACAGAGCAAAGCATAAGCAAGAAAGGATTAATTGAAATGTTAGGGGAGAAATGTGAAATAGCACAGAGGAGTAAAGCTGGGCCAGAGCTTGCCCAACATGAAAGCCAGTCCACTACAGCCTTACAGTCCCAGGCAAGGATTTCACCCTTTCTCATTAGTGAGCTATAATTACCCTGAGGGCTCAGCATAAGGATCTCAGGTGGAGCTGGAGATCTGCATGAATTCCAAACAGCCCTCCAAACTGACATAGCCAGGTCCAGGTCTGAGTGTTATGACTCAGTCTTCCTGGCTCGTTTCTCATTGCACCTGAGTCTCATTTAGCTTCCTCCAGCACAGTCCAATCTGCTTGTCTTGGCAAATGTGGCAGGTGGAGGTGTTAGCCATAGCTTTAACACTCCAAAAATATAACTCTCATATTAAAACATCATCATCATCAGATGATCCTTGTAAAATCAACTGAATAAACACACGGTACATTTATCCTACAAAACAATTAATAAATGCCTGACTTTCAGATGTTTTGAGCTCTGTTCCATGTGGATATCCAACCACCTCTAAAGGAAATCAGCAACAGGTGGTGGTAATATGAAAGGATCGGAACTACTTACTTGAGAGATCATTGATCTGTTTGTTCTTCCTATTTTCCAGAAATACTGTGATATGGATGGTAACAAGGCTACCTTGACCCGTTACTTAGGATACTGGTTATCCTGTAAGAGCATGGTCACTTTGCTTAAAAAGTTCTACTAAGCCATTCTCAAGCCAGCAGAAGTAGTTTCCAACAGCTTCTGAAAGGTTCCCTCACCCCCACCGTGAAATGTCTTTTCCTCTAGAAACAGTGTAAAGTCAAATGTGATATCCAACAACTTTGCAGAATATATCACTTTGGATCTTATTTTATCCAAAAGGATAAAAATAAAGCCTTTTGTCTAGTCCCTCTTGCAAGCAGCAACCACAAGGTTAAACAGTTTTCTGAAGAGCTGGACATCAGGAGTTTAGTAAATACAGGGAAGTAAATAGAATAAATGGAAGCAGTTGTGGACTGCTGTTACATTTACATGTCCAGTCTGTCCATGTGGAATTCATCTGAGATCCCCAAACCATTCAGAGTAAAACATAAGAGGTGCTTTCAAAGCATAATTCATCTTACCTATTTTAGATGGCCATGTTAAAGTGAGAAGAGCAGAGCTCCAGGATCACCTCTTCAGCTGTCCACATTAAGGTAGATTAGTTCTGATGGTAAATGCCTGGTTCTCATCTTTTCAGCAGTTTTGCTCTTAATTATTACACATACTGCTTCCAAGCACTTAAAAAACACTGCTCCATGGGTTTGGTTTTGAGTTTGCAATATTTAGAATTTAGTTTGTAATGGAATGAATAATGGGGCTTTAGCATTTTACTGTATTTATTTCGCTGTTAAGTTTGTCACTGAAGAGCTTCATCCTGCAAACACGTAACAGCCATGTAAGATGATAGGAGCAAGATTGTGGATTTGCTGATAGTCTTTAAGGGAACTGGAGAAGCCATTTGAAGCTTTTAGGAGAGTTCTTCTAGTTTATCTGAATGGATCTGTGCTTTTAGAGAGTTTTATCCATTATTCCAAAGTAACCATAAAACCTATTATTGATTCTTCCACGTGCAGTGTTGAAAGTAGGATACTTTCCAGATTTGGAGAAAAGTAGAATGTTCTTGATATATGCTAGCACTCACACTAGACTGTCTGGATTAATCCAGATTGACAGTACCTGAAGCAGGTGATTGTTACTGTTTGGCTGACTGCCTGAAGTGAAGGCTTAGCAATCATCATTATGTCCTCTTACATAGATGTGGAGGATCCTGCAAGAAGAGCACTTCAGCCAAGTCCTGGGCAGGAAGAAGAATTCTGGAGCTCAGCACCCAGAAAAGCCACCATGAGCGTGTAACAGTTGTGCTGTCATTTCTAGCAGCAACAAATGGCCACTGGCAAATGAGACAGCCCCCTCCAATCATTCAGCTACACGACTCCATGACAACCATACACACAACAGATAAACATGCACATCATTTAGAATAATAAAATGATTATGATTCCATCAGAAGCTGGATCAATGGAATTTTCTTAAGATATCACTAGCAAAAAATGGATTTTTCCACAGTTTGGGAGAATTTTACTCATCCTGTTAAAAAAAAACAAAGAAACCAACCAACCAAACCCTCCCCCAAAAGCCTCCCAAAAATCCCACAAAAAGACAAACAGAAATCAGACTCCAGACATTCTCTAGAAGCACACGCCCTTAGCCTTAACTTTCCTAACTTGCTCATGTTAGTAGTGACTTCAAGGCTACACAGTACCGTATAAAGCATAAAACATGCTGAATATGTAAAAGTATTTTCAGTGATGGTCTAAGAAAATGTGTCACATGACATTTCTCTTCTGCTCAATTCTCGTTCTTGTTCTGTCAGTATTAGCCACTATAAACATTTCCTGCACAAGCTGAGTTAAACTTAATTTTCCTTCTGTTTTCAGGATGGTGAAACCAACCTAACAATAAGGAAGTGGAAGTGTTCAAGGCCAAGATGGATGGGACTCTGAGCAACATGGTCTAGTGGGAGGTGTCACTGCCCATGCAGAGGGGATGAAACTAGATGACCTTTAAGGTCCCTTCCAACCCAAACCACGCTGTGATTCTACTAATTGCTCCTCCTCAACTGTGCAGCATAAATGACATCATAGCCAGAAAGTTGGCTGTATTTGACCCAATTCTGTAGTTCATTTTAGCCTGTGACAGTTAATGCTCTAAGACTACAGAGAAAAAAAGATGGTATCCCGAAAGTGGTTTTTCCTGTTGTATATTTTATTTCCAAAGACAAACAAAACTTCTGCTGTAAGTGCCTGTCTCCTGCTTGGAGCAACAGGGCTCCAAGGGCTCTGCCACTCTTTCAAGGCTCTTCTGTGTTTTCAAAGCATCTCTTGAGGTCAT